CGACAGCACCACCCTCCAAAGGTGCAGATTTCCAGCTCCCGACTTAGCCAGCCGTAATTCGGCCGGGAGGTGCTGGCGAGCAAACTTCTGTCGCGCGCACTGGCCACCCCGGCGGCGATGTGACTGTGCCCACCAACGCCGCTGCGGTCCCGCCAGCTATCGCGCAAGTTGGACATCGCCACCGGCAGTTTCATCCCCCGCTCAACCCGCTGTACACGTACGTGCTTCTTGTCACTCGTGACGTAGATGTCCAGTGTAACTCGTAGCTTTACAGAACTCGGCCATACCCGACATTAACAACTCAGAGTCTCCGCCATCGTCTCCCCAATTCAATGATGGGATGATGCCGTCGCCGTTGGATGTTGTGATGCCCCTACCGGGTGCATTCGACCCGCCGTCGCGCCCTGGAAAGTGTCTTTAATGCAGAAGAGTGTCATGTACGTGTTTTCGCCCCGCCACCCCGGTCACCGATGCCTCTGAACATGTCGTTACGGCGTGTAGACAGATGGGCCCGCACCACCGACTACGACGACCACATCGCGCGATGATGTGGTAGAGGCTGCCCAGGCTGCAAGCACTGCGAAGTCGACATCTGCGCCAGAAGCCGGCTCGGGCGGGAAAGCTCGTGCGTCTCGGGCGGGAAAGCTCGTGCGTCTCGGGTGATGGCGAAGTCCGTTGGTGTGAGTTCCGCATAGTATGTGCTGTCATCGCATCCCTTCAGACCCTGTTCTGACTCTTGACAGCGATATCTGGTGCGATGCCACTACGTGGACAGGCAACAAAAGTTCCCGGCAATCTCATTGGAGGAACAATGTGCCCAATGACGCCAAGAAGGTGAATATGCTTTATGCTTGCGATAAGTGTATGTATTGACATTTCTCCTCAGAAATACCAGGACTTGGAGAAAGCTGCGATGGAGGCGAAGCTGGCAAAGACCGACGAGGAAGTGGGCGGTGATGCGGATGCGGATGTGGATGCCGCATAGCTAGTACGGGGAGACGGACACTCACTCACGTGCCTTCGTGCACCTTTACGATTATTCTCGTTTGCTATGTACCGGCGTGTGGTGCTGGTCAAATAATAGAATCTTGCTTTATTCTGAAGATTTGGAGGGATTTGGCAGAATTCGCCCTTATTTGACGTGTTTCGGAAGCCCGGGCGTGCTGCTACGTGCAGAATTATTCGACTACAGTAGTCGGGAGTCGCCAGGATTTACTATCGTCATTCGCCGCGACCGTGCCGCATTCGCGAGCATTCGCAGGTAGCGAACGCCTGCGAACGCTCGAGGGAGACGGGATTCGCTTGCACTCGGCACCATTTGATGTGAGTTGACGATTTTGTGTATCGCCACCATCTAATCCCATCGAAAGGACGCGAGCGGGGCCGAATCCCGCGAAGTCGGACGGAGGTCGGAATTTGACCAGAGTTCGACGGCATTCGGCCGTTCTCGCCTCGTTGAGATGGTTCTCGCCGCCATGCCGCAGGATTCAGACAGTCGATTCTCGTAGGGGCTCATGGCGGTAAGTAGTATGTAGTAGGCATTGCACGTCCTTCTAACACCATCACTGCTCATCAATAACCTACGATCGGGTTCAGGCGCCTTAGTCGAGAAGGCGCACTCGCTGCATATGGATCACACGGAGGGTTCCGATGTGGTGGGCGCTCGCGGATGGCTATACTGTAATCGTTGTACAGCTTGTGTGCAGCATACTCGCATGGTATATTCCTATTGCCATGCGCCGGCGCAGCTTCGCCGCCGTCCGTCAAGCGCGCAAGATACGATACCCCGCGTAGACTAAACGGCGTATGTGGCACCAGCGCCGGCCTCGTGGGGCCGAAGCTCGCTTCCGAAGACGCTTCTCATACGCCGGTCGCTTTTCGTGACTCATACAATCAGTAGAACAACCTCATTCAAACCCTCCTGCACGTCAGACGGTATGCGGACATGTTTGATCGCGCTCAAGTTGTGGGAAGCGGGCTCAGGTGGGGCTCGCTTTGGGTACTTATACCCGACTCACTGCACGCTGCAGCCTGACTTGTACCATCACCAGCCAGCGACGAGCCCAATTTCTTACACACATTGCCATGTCTGAAGCAATCCTGCAAGCGGAGCTAGCAGTCGCCAAAGCCCAATTGGCTCTGGCGCAGGCGCAGGAAGCCGCACGCGCTAAACTTATGATCGCTGTGAATGAGGTTGCAGCGATTACATCAAATTCAGCGGCTGGCGCATCATCATATGTACCGGGTAATCCCCGTACATGCGATATGTTGTGTTTGTCTGCTAACATCATTCTCTCTCCGTAGATGCTGTGGACTCGAGCAGGGCCCCTAGCGACAAGCGGGATTGTACACCGACGGCGGGCGTCGAAGAGGGTGAGTAGTATCCAGTAATGCGTGCAACGGGAAAAACGTGACTTTGGACAGCAGCCGGCAAAGGCGCGAGAAGCGCAAATATCATCGAAGGCGCGACGAACTGCGGCAACGATAGCACTCGTACGCGTACATACAAAAGCGGATCATGTTGCAGTTGCGCACTGACCGGACGTGTCTAGACGTTGAGACTTGGACGAAGCTGGTCGAGGAACCGTTTGCAGACGACGCTCGCGACCCTGCCGTGCCCGACATCGACTTAACCGTTGACGCAATCGACGCTCGCGACTTTGTCGTACCCGACATCGACCTGACGAGCGACGCCGAACTCGACACGCAGCCGGACGTTGATAACCAACAGCTGACTCGTGAGCTCGCAGAAGCGTCCGAAGATGGGGACGTTACGGAGCTCGGTGACAAACGCGGGTCGGAGCGTGCGGAGAAGACGAGACGGTCGTCCGCGCGGGTCGGTCGAGTGGCAACTCGGGCGATCCTAGCTAAAGAGGATAACGCGGAAACCACGGAGTCTGCGACGTCAGCTTCGAAGAGGAAGATGAGCGCCACGGGTGGGCAGAGTTCGTGCGAGGAACTTGAGGAGGAGGGCGACGAAGTTGGCGCAGGAGGCGTACTCACTGTCGCGCTCAACAAGGGCGCCGCTCCGAAGGGATCTGTCTTCGAATTCGCTGACTCCGTCATGCGCTTCGCGGCGTTTGCGTTTGCGTATGCTAGCCTGTGGGGCCCCGACCATCAAGAGCTCGTGATCTCGATGATCAAACCACTGGTGCAGTTGGAGCTGGCCCATAGGTTTGAGGTAAGCGACTATGAATATAGTGTGGTCTATCGAAAGCTTACCTCGACTTGAATAGCTCGGACAGGAGATGCCAGGTCTTCCTCCGAGCGCGATTTCCTGGATCTCGAGCCGTCGTGCGGCATGCAAGGTCGACGACCCGAGCTACGTGCGCAACGCGCTCAAGGAGATACACTTAGAGCACAAGATGCTCTCGTGCATCAGCACTCTGAGGTCTGTCAAGTTTGCTGACGTCGCGCTCATGCACGGAAGGCGGGGGTACATCTTGCTCGTGCGTGGAATGCTTCAGGCTCGCGCGAGCAACATCCTCGGGGAAGACTGGGCGCCGTGCGTAGGTGAAGTCGCCCGGCTGCTCCACGCTCTGGTGCGGGCGAACAACGGCGAAGACATGGAATTCAGCGTCAGGGACCCCGTGCTGGCCGCGCTTACCACCATCGATCACAGCGCTACCGTTGTCGTGACGGCGATTCTATCGAAGCGTGCGGACGAGCTGAAGGAGATGAATACAGGCGGGTTCAGGTCCAGCACGAGCAGTCCAAAATCGATGAAGCGTGCCAGACGGTCAGCTTCAGCTTCGCCGATTAAGGTGCCGGGACCATCTACGAGTCTGAGGTCGAGACCGCGGGGAATCAAGAAGGCGCGCGGAGTTGGCGAAGGCTCATCCAAGGCTTCGGCGGAAAACTGACGGTTAGCTGCACTCACCCCGTATGTTTTCTTGTTGTATTTGTAGAGCCACGTCGGGTTTGTGAATGACAACATCCGCCCTGTCTACGTGGTATTTGAGTAAAGCCTGTTGATCAGTATTGCGTTGTAGTCTTTCCCTCAATATTATAGGGTATGGCCCTTCGGCAACGAAGTTAGTCTGCGGCGCGACCGTTCCCTTCACCCGGGGGACACTACGTCGCGAGGAAAACGTGTGCTGGGTATTTCCCCGCCGCAAAGCTGTCTTACGGCGGCTCGTGGCGGCTT